AAATAAATAAGGCTCTAAATGCAGCAGGGATCCGTTTGTTATTATTAATATATAACCTCTTGATTGAAAGCCATGAATATAAAAAGCACTCAGTGATAGACAAGCATCTTCACCTCAACTCCCAAATACAGATTGTAGGAATCTGTACAACTGCCCGAGGTAACAAGAGTTAAATATCACAAATGACAACCACCTCGCGCATGTTTGTTTTAAATTACATTCATGACTTTCCTTGGTAAGTTATCAAGTCAAATGGGGAGGGGAGAAGTAAGATTTTAACTATTAAGTACTAGCTGTGTAAAGTGTTTTGAGAGCACTGAGTTTGAAAGCTCTCATAGACTTAAGGTTTGAATCTCAGACGGGCTTTCTTAATGACAAGTTAACTTTCTAAGCTTCAGGTTTCTCATAGTAAAATATAAATGGTAATATTACTTATCTCCACAGAATTATTCTGAAGAGTAAATAAAATTAAATGTCTGTCCCTTAAGTGTTAGTGTTCCTGAAAATGCCTTCCTCAACCTTACCCAAGGTAGATCTTATCCATTTCTAGGGCTTTTATTACATGTGCTGCTCACTCCCAAAATTTTGTCTTCAATCCAGATGGCTCTCTGCAGACTGGAATATTCAACATCACTGCAACAATCACATCTGAATGTTCCACTGGCTCCTGTACATCAGTATGTTCAAATCAGAATTCATTATGTTCCTCTTCACACGCCCCTCCCTCCTACACCATATTTGCCACATTTACTTACTGTGGTTCTCTCTTTACTTGTCTCTGTCCCCCAGTAGACTGCAAGCCCTGTAAGGGCTTTATCCCATCTCACTCACCATCCCATCTCCAGCACCTAGCACAGAGTAGGTATTCAATATATATCTGTTGATGAACAGGAGAGTGATTGCACATGGTTAATAATGGTAATATGTTCTATGTATTAAAAAATCATCTAATCCTCAGAACAACTCTGATATACTATTATTTCCATTTTGTGGATTAGGAATTGCGATCCAGAGAGATTAATAATTTATCAGAGGTCACATACAATAAGCAGGCAGTTTTACTCCAGAGCCTACACTTTTCAATTATGCTATACTGTCTCATTGTAGGAGCTCAACAAGTAAGACATTGTGACACTTGGTACTGATTTAGCTGTGAGATGAAAATTAAAATTGAAGAAACTTTTAAAAAACTCTTACACAGTCAGACCTAAGAAATACAAAGACACAAGACTAGAAAGCTTGAGATGGAAGAGTTTGGCTCTGCTATTTAGGAGCAGATTCTCTCTCTTGGTCTTCCTTTTTTTTTCCTTTTTGGAGACGGTCTCATTCTGTTGCCTGGGCAATGGTGTCATCATAACTCACAGCAATCTCGAACTACTGAGCTCAAGCAATCCTCCTGCCTCAGCCTCCTGAGTAGCTGGGACTACAGGCGCGCACCACCACGCCCCAATAATTTAAAAAATTATTTTGTAGAGAGAGGGTCTCGCTATGTTGCCCAGGCTGGTCTCAAACTCCTAGCCTCAAGTGATCCTCTTGCCTTCGTCTTATATCAGTATTTTGAAGGTTGAGCATTCCTAGATCCCTGTGAGACATTATAAAGCAGTCTATATGGAGTATAGATCACCATAATGCAGCAATCTAAGATCTAGCTCATGGAAGATAATAATTTTCTAATTATTTCTAATTATAATTTCT